ATCCGGCGCTCTTTGGAGATCTACTTCCAAACTGGGAGACCCGCCTCTGAGGTCTACGCAGAACAACAGCGGCTGAAACAGGCTGACATGGCGCGTAACAGCCTTTCTCTTGGTGTGGGTCGTTTGCGATACCCGACAATGATTTTCTGGGTGCACTCGGAGAAGGGAATCCTCAATGCACGGCTAGAAAAGCGTGTGGACTCGATGGTAGACCAAGGTCTCATGGAGGAAGCTAGACGCATGTTTGATTTTGCTCGGGAGAAGAAAGCGCAGGGCGATCCGGTTGATCACACACGAGGCGTCTGGATCTCTATTGGCTACAAGGAGCTGGCACCGTACTTCGAGGCCCTTCACAAGGGCTCCATGACCAAGTTGGAGTTGGAGGCGTTGAAAAGAGCCTGCGTTGGGTCCGTCAAGTCTGCAACGCGACAATATGCCGTATCGCAAATTAAATGGATACGAAACAAACTATGGAAAGCCATTGCCGATGCAAGCGCGACTGATCGTCTCTACCTCCTGGATAGCACGAACGTCGAGGCATGGAAGGAGGCTATAACGCAGCCATCAGAGGAATTGGTACGAGCTTTGCTGAACGATGAATCCACTCCTGATCCCAAGTCACTATCGGAGCTTGCTAGAACCGTCCTAGGTGCAAAAGAGGCACAACCGGAGAGAGATCCCACCGCACTTTTGCAATGTATAACGTGCAATGTCTGCAAGAAGACTATGCAAGGCAGGGAGCAATGGGATATTCACATCAATGGGAATGCACATAAGAGAGCTCTCACGAGTGCAGCCAAGAAGGCTGCACGTGATGCGTACCTTCGGAAACGGCAGGATAGTCGCACCTCGGATGTTCGGCCAGACATTAACACTGAAGCCCCGATCAGAGGAGACACAGGGTAGATGCCACTATCCAGGGTTGATGTACGACTTCCACTCTTGCACCCTGACCATCCGGAACATATTTGAGAAGAGGGTACACAGGACTCCCTCGGTCTTTAGCTGTGATACAGACTCGTTTTTTTGTATATCGGTGAACGGAAATACAGACCGTGAATCAGAGGACATTTTCAGGATATAACCACGACTAGATATTTTAAAGGATAGACACATCTCCTTCCGAGGGCTCAGAGTGAAAGAAGATTAGCCACATGAAACATACACGCTTTCTATTGCTTGGCGTTCGATTAGATCTAGCTGGGACACTATGTGTCTTCGAAAGTAGAACATCGGGTAAGCCGCGGCGGATTGCGATTCACCACGGAATTGATCACGTCAGTCATCTGATCAGGAACATCAGGGCGCAGGCGCCTCCCTGTGCGAAGGACATTCGTCACTGGGAAATGCACATATCTCTTATTGCGAATCTGAACCAAGAGTCGACATCAGATGGAAGCCGTTGGCGACCGTTCATAATTTCGGCTTCCCGTTCATCAAGCCTCTGAACGACTCGCTATAGAGAACCAAGCTTTAACGAGCCCGAGTCCCTCATCTTGTCGACCTCCAAAGTGAAAAGGCTGGAGAGATGATGTCGCCAGTTCCACTATCCTCCACTTTGAAGACCTCTATGACCGAGGATCTCTCACGTTTGACTATCCTCCACGTCCCTTCCTCCTGTATGGTAGATTTAAGCCCTGATCTTGTTAGTTATAGCTCTTGCTGTGACAGTCCTTGATGACCGCATGAGGATCGAGTGGGCCTTTTCCTACATTGCAGAAATTCAGCAGTGAAATTGATGCATATATTTCCGTCCCAGGTCGCTCGTCCCACTTTCTTGACCTTGCCTGGTATGCTGGCGGTGTCCAAGTCCTCAAGACGGTGGACGATTCCTTGCTGGTCTCGAAACCCGACAATAATTCGAGGCACACCGAGAAGGAATGACTGAGCCCAGAACTTAAGAAGCTTCCTTTCGTATTTGACCATGTCCCGGTCATTCCTGATCTCGGCCGAGGTTTTCAGCTCTACCCAGTTGATAGGGTCCTCCTTCCGTTCTGGTTTGCGGTCCCATACTTCACACAAGTGATTAGTTCATATCAGCTGTAGTACAAGGTAGAAGCATTGCATCTGCTTACTAGCATCCACTTCGCCTCCAATGACAAGTTTGGTGCGTCCTATCGCAGTCCGCACCACGGAGCAATACTGGGCCTTGTTGTTCACCACGTGCTCTTCTCGACCTTCAATCTCCTGACGAGGAGTTGGATCCCATGGTTGATTGAGTAACGATATTGTTTCAAATTTGTAGCCTGCATCAATCAGTGTTAAATTGGCGATTATTCAGCCGAAGAGCTCCGATAGTATTCGAACTCGGCCGTGGAAGATATACTGTACCCCAGTATGCCATTAGCTCTTGAGAAGCCATACCAGGAGGCATTCTCTGATTCTTCTGGATCCGCTTCTGCTCATTTTTGTAGCTGTTGTTCTCTTCAATGAAGCTAGAAAGTATTAGGACCCCGCAAATAGCCGACTGGAACATACGCACATAGTTCCCTAACAAGGTTGTCAATGACTTAGCATAGTTACAGCTGAGAATCAATGGTAGCTTACTTGGTACAATGTCGCATTCATCTCAAACCTGTAACGGGGTTAGGCCACCGATGATGGTAGAACTTCACCGGACGTCAGGAACACACCCATTCATGTTGTCAAAGGGAGCCGTCAGAATCTATGCCTCCAGCGGTACATTAGCACCGAGCCTTTGGAAAAGCAGTATTGCTTACAGTGGTTAGATGTCATACTGACCTTGGTCATCATTCCTCTCCAAGTGATGATATCGGCTTCACATTGGTTTCCAGTTTCCTGTTCCAGAGCCATGATGGTATCAAGCAATGCATCGAGATGCTCGTCGGCGGAATCGTCTAGCTTCTGGAAGGATTCAAACCCCCGGTTCAGATCGGCAGGGAGTTGCGGTGTGTAGTAGTATTTCAAGGAGGAGTCTCCCAGGTGGAATTCATGATCATCGTCATAGGAAAAGCATGCGATTTCCTGCCCGTGTTCAATACCAATCTCAATTTATCCAAGTCCAGAAAGGGAATGGGGAAGAGGCGTAAGTAGGGGCAGGCAGGTAATAAGTGTAATGTCAGTTACTTACCTTAGGACGTCGAATCGCGGCACTGGCTCCGTAGAAGCGGCCAATGGGTTGAATATCAAACACTTTCCGGTCCATTAGTAGGTAATTTTATTCTCAAGACGCGGAAGCATTCAAGGTCATAGTTGAATAGTTAGTTGTTTGGTGTTGGTAAAGTGATAAGTGGGCGTACAGTACAGGCCCAAGTAAGAACTACGTACCGTTCAGTAACTTATTATGTACTGTACTCAGTCTGAGGTCGCTCCGCCCGCCCTTCTGGAAGAAGCCAAGCGCGCCGGCATTGCTATTCTCTCCCCCACCCCCCACTACCAAATGTCGTTGGCCATCCACCAGCTCTTTCTTCCTTCCTTTTCTTGTTGCTAAGCAAGCTTGACGTCCTAAGTGGCCGTTCTAACTTTTCGATTACAGTTTCTGGTTATATCGTGTCCTGATTCCTGAGACACTTGGTCCAGCTTGTAGCCAGGCATCTCTAAAGGTCGTCCGCAGAGCCTCCTTGAAGTGGTCTCCACTCCAACATGACCTCACGCATTGAGAAGACCATCGCTCGACAGCAAGAGAAGTGAGTCAACCCACCTTGCGCCTCCTATAACAACTTGCCCAAGCCAAGACGGAAATCTAACAGCTAATTTGTTTTGTCATCATCTTCCAGAATCGCTTCTGGTGCATATTACGAAGCTCACCAACAACTACGAGTCATCGCCGCGCGGTATATCAAACAAGCCAACTACGATGTGGCGGCAGAACTATTAGCTAGTGGCGCTGCGGCCCTCTTGAAAGCCGGGTCTCAGCAGGGTGCTTCCGCTAGTGGCGGAGACCTGGCTATCATGCTGGTCGTCGAGGTGTACATCAAGGCCGGTTGGGAGATCATCTCCGGTGATGATGATACCGAAGGACGAATTCGAAAGAGTAAGTGTTGCACCCATTATCAACCTCGAATAGGGTGCCGTATGTCACAACCTTTGCCACGATTTCACTCGGAACACGGCTGACGGGCAATGTCAATAATAGAGCGGTTGATCGAGCTTCTGCACGCCTTCCCACCCGAGGAACCTACACGGAAAAGGTTTATACAGGAGATGATTGGGTGGAGTGGTCGTTTTGGTCCTCTGGAGAGAGGAGATCCCGAACTGCATCATGCTGCTGGATCAGTATACGCCGAGGGTATGTGAATCACAATAGATAACGATGGCCGGACAGCTCTCTAATCTGAAGCTTCTAGACAATGAACCATATGACGCTGAGAAGCATCTGATTTTCGGTACCTCAGAATCGGCCGAGACTCTGGCGAAACTTGAATACGAGTGGTATACCCATGACGATCCGCATACGGCAGCAATTTACGCATCTCGTGCCGTATTTCCATACCTTCTCATCGGAAACCTTCGCAATGCCAACAAAGCCTTTCTTATCTTCACGTCAAAGCTTTCCTCCTCGAATCCATCACTCGGTGTACAAGAGGTCAGCAGCGCTAGCTCTGATGTGCGGGTATACCCTGCGCTTCCTTTGCTGAACTTCATAAGCATGCTCCTCCTCACGATACAGCGTGGTAGTTCGGATCTTTTCAAGCAGCTGACCGCTCACTATGCATCCCACGTTCGAGAGGTTGGCATCTGGGACGAAGCCTTGGCTCAGCTGGGTGAGCAGTATTTTGGAATCAAAATTCCCCGGCAAAGTAACCCCCTGCTAGACATGATGGGCAGCATGCTTTTTGGAGGTGGTCAGGATACTGCCGGTTCCCGGACGGCCCCTCAAGGACGAGTGGGCTCGAAAAGGGTCGAGGCCCCCCCTGCGAGTATGGAGCTTGACTAGTTTGAGGCTGGCGGGAACTTCCGCGATGTAAATCAATGCAGTTCATATACGTCATCCACCATGCGTCGTGATAGGCATCAGGCATGTAAACACCGTGGAGATTCTAGATGCTGGAGTCGACCTCGGGTTCGTACATCCAATTATCTTCATCCAAAGCAGCAACTTTGTTACGAAGGCTCTGCTGGATAAGGGTTAAAATCTCTGTATCCAATTAGCTTCTACCTCTCTCACGGCTGTCGAAAAGACTTGCCAGCTGGCTCACTACTCATACGCCTGCTCTTGTTTCGATACATTTCCGATAAACTGGCTTCAATCTCTTTGGTGAATTAGCATGGTCTTATACGCATGGCATGGCGCAGGGATTTCAACACGAAGTCGCTTACTCTCTTTCTCCCGTCTTGAGATATCGGTCTGGTTTGTAGTATCGACTGTTGCAGTTCCGGAGCCGCCATGAGCACCTACGTCTTCTATACCCTCCATTTCATCACCCGCATTGCCAATCAAAGCGGGGAGAACCGGAATGTCGAGCTTGTAGCCACCGTTTGTGTCTCGGGCCACAATTTCCCCTGCATCGACGGGGCCGGAACCCAATGACGAGGCGGAGTCCGAGGACATCGAGGGTGCCATATGTGTGGATAGAACCGGAGCCCCCTGTGTAGCGCTGCTCTGCGCAGAGGAGCTAGAAGGAGCGACCGACACAGGGCGTCTGCTGAGATGGTGATGAAAGAGATTGCGGCGAACAGAGGTCGTTCCCATGGTGATGATTACAGGAAAGAGAATTCACTGGTTGAGGTGAAAGCTGTTGTAGCAATGGTGAGGTAAAGTAAGCGGTATCCCCGAAATTGGTAGAGCGCCTAGTAATCATAAAGGTAATAAACAAGGTCTTTTAAAGTAATACAGACGCGATGATTATAAGTTGCAGAAATTGGATTAGTAGATAAAGGTTGTTGGAGTAGCAGAATGCTTTGGGGACATCACCAGCTCCAGACTCAATGTGTGGTGCACACTCCGTACCATGCAGTGATCGAAAATGGAAGAAATATGGAAAGCGCAGGCGGGAATACAATCGGTCTTTTTGCCAACTGGCCAGACGGACCCCATGTGATCTTAAAACGGCAGAGAAAGATAGATCGATCCCTGTGTCGTCGACGGGAACCGACTTGCATAGGAAGAGTGCACTGTGAAACCTGCTGGGTTGCTTGTGGGAGTGAAAGAAGAGAAGAAAAAAAGCACTCACAGTCACAAGCCCTGGTCACTGCACCGGCAACAATCAATTATGACTCCTTTGGGCGGACCCCCGCATGTCCGACGCGTCTCCGCCTTGACCTGCGCGCGTCTTCCTTTCCCCGAGCCATACCCGGCCTTTACTTCGAATCCAACTGCCTGCTTTGTTCGCATACCACACAGACAGCTCGACTCTCTTCATCCTCACTCATTATCTCCATGGCTCAAGCCGAATCTTCAGCCAGCGCTGCCCGTAATGGACTCAAACCCAATACGGCCGGCGCTCCTCCCGACTACGAGCTTCCTTGGTATGACGCAGCCACGATGACCACGGGAGCCAGGAACTAACACTATGTCGCAGGGTCGAGAAGTACCGCCCGATCTTCCTAGATGATATTGTAGGCAACACAGAGACCGTTGAACGATTGAAGATTATCGCCAAAGATGGGAATATGCCACACGTGATAATTTCTGGCATGCCTGGTATCGGAAAGACAACCTCGATTCTGTGCTTGGCAAGGCAATTACTGGGAGATGCATACAAAGAGGCTGTGCTTGAGCTGAATGCCAGTGATGAAAGAGGTATGCCCACCTCTGAGCGGGAGCATGAACAATTTTTGACACCCCCCTCTTTAAGGTATTGATGTTGTGCGCAACCGGATCAAGGGCTTCGCCCAGAAGAAAGTTACACTGCCTCCTGGCCGTCACAAGATAGTGATTTTGGACGAGGCAGATAGGTACGAGCCCGTGATTAACCTCCCACGCAGCTCCCTCCCATTAACGGACAGTATAGTATGACGTCTGGTGCCCAGCAAGCGCTACGACGTACCATGGAGATCTACTCGTCTACGACTCGTTTTGCCTTTGCATGCAATCAATCGAATAAGATCATTGAGCCCATTCAATCCCGATGTGCCATCCTTCGTTATGCCCGGTTGACAGACTCCCAGGTTGTGAAGCGGTTGAAACAGGTGTGTGACGCCGAGAAAGTGGAACATAATGAGGAAGGAATCGCTGCATTGGTGTTCAGCGCAGAGGGAGACATGCGTCAAGCCATCAACAACCTCCAAAGTACATGGTCAGGGTTTGGCTTCGTTAGCGGGGACAATGTCTTCAGGGTAGTCGATAGTCCACACCCCATCAAGGTTCAAGCCATGATCAAGGCCTGCTGGGAAGGGAAGGTGGACGGTGCTCTCGACACACTCAATGAGCTGTGGTATGTCTCTTCCTAGGCCCATCCGACATCGCGCTGTGGAATTAACGAGTATGTCAGGGACCTGGGATATTCTTCACATGATATCATCAGCACTATGTTCCGAGTGACCAAGACCATTCCCTCTCTGTCAGAACATTCCAAGCTCGAATTTATCCGTGAGATTGGTTTTACACACATGCGCATCTTGGACGGTGTACAATCTGTGCTGCAGCTAAGCGGTTGTGTCTCTAAGCTTTGCAAGATCAACATGAGACCCCAGCTTTTTGAGCCACCGAGAAGCTGAAAACTCGGCCTTTAATGCCGAAAATTTGCATTTAAGTGGCGTTAGTGGCATTTAGTGTAGGAAGTTCTGATAGGTTCATTCATCAGGTATCTAGCATTCACTTCAAAAGAGCTCCGGATTTTGTACAATGTCAGGGTACTAGCTGAAGGAACTACCTTTTCGCTGCGGTTGATTCAATACTACCCGGAAGAGCATAGTGGTCTCACGAAGTCAGATATTCGTCAAGTCTGCTTTAGAGGCATGGGAGCTTCTGGCATTCTTGCCCCTTCGGGTGGATTGTTCTTGCTTTTGAACTCGTCGCACATTTGCTCGAATGTCACCCATTCTACGCCTTCGTGCTTGTTGATATGCTCAATGATTCTGTCATTGTTAGGACCCAGCTGCAAACACTACGAATGAGACATAGAGCCGCGCCAACTCACCTCTCATGCATCAGAAGCACATGCGGACGTCCAGACACATCAGGATGTATCGTCATCGGGAAAACAAATTCGTCGTATTCGCGGTAGAAGTAGTCAAAGTGATCCTAGAGTGCCACGAGTCATCAGCTTAGATCATGTTAAAGACCAGGAACTTTAGCACACCAACCTTCCAAATGTCCTCGATGTCTCTTGGATTCACCCATCCATGGCTGTTCGGTGCCGACTTGATGAACATCATCGGCGGCAAGTCATCGATGTACCAATTTCCGGGGATCTCGACAAGGCCTGTATCCTGACCCCGGACGAGCGGCTTCATCCACGTCTCAGCCTTCTGGGTATAATCGATCTTGGTCCACGAGTCGCCTGTACGCAGCCAGTACATCTGGCAATCATGATGAGACATGGAATGATCGTACTCGATTCCATAGGAAAGCAGAAGATCAGCCATCTCTTTGCTCGTTTCCCACCATGGCGCAACGATGCCTCGTGGGGGCTTGCCGCAGAACTTGTAGATCATATGATAGGTTTTGTCCAAGATGTCACGCTGTTGCTCGATAGTCATGTCGGTTGGGTTCTCGTGGCTATATCCGTGGAGACCGATCTCGTGGCCCTGATCGCGGACCATGGCACACTCCTCCGGAAAGGTCTCAAGCGAATGACCGGGGATGAACCATGTCGCTTTGATGCCATACTTCTCGAACAGCTTCAGCAGTCGCGTTGTGCCGATATGGCCGGCAAAGAGACCTGGGGAACCGTCCTGATCAGCAGAGCTTTGGTGGTGGCCGGAGGGGATAGAACAGCGGGTCAAGTGGTTACTACCACTGGTCTTGCTGGAGAGGCTGATCGGGTCGGTTTCCTACCTCGACTGATGTCATTGGAGCTGTCCTCTCCGCCATATGACCCCAGCCATCCGGCTACGGCGTCGATATCGACTCCGTAGCTGACCAAAACACGCTTCTTGCCCATTGCACTGTGTCGCTAGATGATGATTTGAAATTGATGGAAAATAGGTTAGGGGATAAGAAAAAGAACGAGCTGGGAACTTATATCATTTCGCAATTTAATCTTATCGTTTGCTGCGCATGACGGACGGGCCTGCCGCTAAGAGTGGGGAGGAAGAGGGGAAGCTTCGAATTCACCGAGATATGATGATAAGTGCCTCGATAAACCCCGGGAGATAAGCCTAAATAACAATCCATTATGCCGGTTCCAGCAAAACGCTCTGCCGTACCTGACGGGGGCCAGGTTCGAGTTGGATCTGATCATGTCAATCACTTATATCACTTATTTACTTCCTGGTCTCTCGACCATATTCAACTCACATAGTCAAAGTCAGCTTGTTGTCAAGTGTTATGAATAGACTAGGACCTTATGAATGTTACCTGGACACGTTGCATCCTCCGAAGTCCCTGGTCATTACTAGTTACCTCGTTTGAACTACCCCAAATCCCCTTCCCCTGCCGCCTCCAACTTGGGCCGAACCTGACCCCAACTGCCCCCAACTGCCCCCAACTGCTACGACGCTAGATTGGAGGCGGTGCAGATAAAAGGTGGGGGTTGACATGATGGGACCGGGCAGGAAAGATTAACTACGTACGGGGCAGTTGATCAGACTATTCAGCGATTACAATGACTGTACGTATGCAGAATACCATGGTATGGATTATCATGCTCCTTCGCCGATAGGAAATGCTTTCTTCCAGAGGGTTTCGATGGCACTCGCTGCGCCTAGTACCACCTCCTCTTCCAGTTTCCTGCCAATCACCTGGAGATTGACTGGATGGCCGTCCATGGCCCTAGCATCGTACAGTTTCCAATTCCACGCATCAAGCTCATTCCTTGGCTGGTAGTCGGCTGGAAGCTCATCCCGGTCTGCCCTGACTCGATCTACAGGGAATGTGACGGCAGGATAGTCGAGGAAGTTCCAGATCTTTGTGTACCCAACCCACCGCATACTCCGGTGGGGAATAGCTGGATGAGGTGTTGTTGGAGCGAGAAGTATGTCAACGTGCTTTCCCGAGGGAGAGAGGGTCGCGTCCCACTTGTCGAGATACTGCTTTTGTAGAGCAACCTTTTTCTTGTTAAGCTGCCAATACTCATAGACGGAGACGGCCTTGCCGCGGCTGACGAGCGCTTCGACGTGGGGAATATAGGGCTCTCCCGCCGCGCTGACATCGCGACGAACGTCTTCACCTCCATCAACAGTGTAGAACAAGTCCATGAGGCGGATACACTCCAGATGGTCCGACGTGTCCCAGGTCACTATGTCGTGGCCGTGCGCCTTTAACGTGGTAGAAAGCTCACGGAGAGCCCGTGCGATGGGCGGGTGGACCCTCACGACTCCATCATCCACAATCAGGCCAATAGTCATAGGTCGACTTTGGATTTCTCGGAAAGCGTTCTCATTCCAAGGCAGCGGTGGGCATTTTGGATCAAACAGCCATGGCTTAGCATCGATTAACGCTCGACTTACATAGCAGAGTGACGATAGGTCCCTTCCCATGGGACCAGCAGATGACGGAACGTGCTCCTGTCCTTCAGTTGAAACGGGAACTCCGTGGTACGGAAGTCTGCCACTCTGATGCGGAGTTAGTCTCATCTTTGCAATGGCTTCAGGATCCGGCCTTACACTGGGTTTCAAGCCATACAGTCCCATAAGACTCTGCGGGATTCTGATGCTGCCACCGATGTCTGTTCCAAACCCTATGAGAGAACCGCGCAGTGCCAGAAGCGCAGCTTCTCCTCCCGTTGAGCCGCCCGGCGTAAGTGCAGGGTCCCGCGGATTGGTCGTTAGGCCCCAGAGGGGATTTTCCGTCTCAGCCCACTATTGAACCGGTTAGTCTGCGGAGTGACTGGCGTGAACCGGACAGGGCGTCGCACCATGATGCTCTGCGGTAAGTTCGTCTTGGCCAATACAACAGCACCCATGCTCTTCAGTAACTGAACCAGGATTGCATCTTGCGCAGCGGGCGCAAAAGAACGGCCCACGTAGCCCAGTGTACTATCGATCCCTTTGATGTTGAACTGATCCTTCAGCGTGACCGGAATACCATGCAGGGGACCTTTGACTTTGCCAGTCAGTTGAAACTCGCAATCCAAATGCCTAGCTTGTGCCAAGGCTTCCTCGAAGGTAACCTCCGTAAAGCAGTTTGTCTAGTGAGTTGCTCCTGTTAGTACCCTGGGATCGAGTTCGCCATTGTCCATCATGATTCAACCCCTTGCTCACCAATTGATGTGCCACCACAGCTCTGAGTAGACATACTACAGTATCAGCATATAGTCGGATTATCTTCGCGCTTGCGGCCATTAAGAGGTGTACCTTTTGATGTAGGCTAGGGTGGTCTGCTCCACAGTGATTCTTCCGGACTTCAATTGTTCGAGAAGCTGAGGAGCACTATCAATGTCTGTAATCTCCTCAAAGCCGGATGCATCATGCAGGCAGGTGCGCTCATGAACATTGTACACCCGCGGAATTCGTTGATCAATATCAGCGACGATGTAGGGTTTTATCTGTTGATCTCGCAGAGAACGCTTTTTAGCGACGATCTGTTCCCATGGTTGTAGATTTCTCATAGTTGACAATATTCAAAGATTTGATGACTAGCTGCTTAGTCAAACTCAGGTCAATTGTAGATGTTATCTAGGAGAGAGGGAGGGAAGCAGTGAGGGCATCTGGTGCTTTCACGCCTATTTTATATGTCGGCCATGAAGGGCAATTCATTGCCAATTCCAGTTAGGACTCGAGTCATACTGTAGGGACCTAGTAGCGATAAGCAGTTTCCGAAACAGTTGCATCTAATTGGACTCAAGCCCAAAGGCTCATATAACTACCGAGTATATTTAAGTACCTTGTAATAAACTCAATGACAATCACAGGAAGTTGAATTACAGTACCAGTACTAAGTCCAACTTATAGAGTGGAGTGGTCCCTCGCACTTACTGTATGAGGGGGTAAGGGGTAGTTACTGTACTGTACTCTGTACAGAGTATTCCGTACTGTACCGTAGTACTACAAGGACATTTGAAGTGGGGATGGAGGGCGGAGTTTCTTGCCTTTTCCCCGCGTGGTTGCCGGTAACGCTCAAGCTCAGCTTTTCTCGCTCCCCTGCAGTCCCCGCCCGCCCGCCGCCGCCGCCGCCGCCGCTGCTGCTTGCCTGTGACCGACCGGATTGAACATCCAGACTCAATCCACTCCTCCGAGTCCTCCCATCCCACTCTTGCTTACTTACTAGGTACTTACTCAGACTTCCTTGCTTGGCTATGATGGTCTGAGAGAGATCTTGCATTCTGCTGTGTAACAATCGTGTTTCCCATTGTGAATATGCCACAATCATGAACCAGCCACGCTCGGATGTTGCCGCAACATCGTCATCACCATCAGCAAGAACAACAACAACAACAACAACAACAACATCATCATCATCAGCATCGTCATCGTCAGTGACTGGTGCCATTCGCACGGAATCCCGAAGGAAGGCATTAGGAGCTGTTGCAAAGCGCGCGTGTGATCAGTGCAAATTTCGGAAAATCAAGGCGTGTGATCCCTTCCTATTATTCCCCCCCCATTCTTGTTCCTTTCACTTCTTTGTTCACCGCCCCCCGCCGTCTCCCCCTCTCCCGCAGCAATTGTGGAGACTTGCAGCTAACCTATCTTTGTGACGATAGTGCAGCTTGTCACAACCATGTCGAGCTTGTGTATCTATGGGCTTTGAGTGCACATTTTTCCAGCCTCAGAAGAAAAGAGGCCCCACTGGCCAGTGAGTGCATCCATATAGTCTTAGTCATCTTCATCTTCATTGGAATGTTCTCATCTTACCTGCCGTGTTTCGGAACTCATAGCCGAGTATCCCAGATTCGCCAGCAACAAAATAACCTTTCATTGAATAACCCCCCAGCCCAGGGAGCATCGAATTCGTTCTCAAATGCTTTTCCTTACCATCCAAATCCCTCGTCTCGAGGTGACCAGGTTCCCGAGGCCCTTCGGACTCCACCTTGGCCCATCCCGAGCGAAAACCCAGTATCCATAGAGCTCGCTCCTTCAAGTGCGACTCCATCCATACAGCCAGGCTGGAGCACAGATACTTCCGATTCACAAAGCAATGGTGGAATCTGTTGGAACGAGCGCAATGATGTAGAATACTGGCTTCCAGATACCCTGGACGCTCAATTGCCCGTGTTTGACTTCCCGGGGAACAACATCCTCTTGAAAACGTCGCTTCCCTCCATTATCGAGACCCATCCAACCTCTGCAAGCCTGCAGGCGCCGACTATACCTGCGACGTGTGCTACAGCACCGAAAACGGATGTTGTACCTCCAGACCCCCATAATCTGCAAATGGTGTGGCCTGCGTCAATTGTTGAAGCCAACATGATCCCTTGGATTGATATTTACTTTGATCGTCTGCACCCTACTTTGCCAGTTCTGAACCGCGCGGCTCTATTCATCCGTATGTTGGCTCATGAACATCGGAGAAACCCCCAATTCGGCGCAATGTTGTTAGCGCTGTGTGCCTTTTCTCTCACGCAACCGATCGAGATACAGGAGCGTCCGACGTCCTCCTCCCGAGCGAGCCAAGCGAGGTCCATGATGCATGAAGCGACAAAGATGCGGAGCTGTTCTGATTTCGGTGAGCATCCCACCATCGAGGCAGTCCTTACTAGCTTCTACCTCTTCGGCTGTCTTTTTGGTAGCAATCAGCATAATGCGGCTTGGCTTCGCCTGCGGGAGGCCCTGGATCTTGCGGCCACGATGGGTCTCAATAATCCTGATTCATATCGAAATTTACCTAGCGAGGAGAAAGGCCAGCGACTACGGACTTACCTCGTCTTATCAATCACCGAAAGGTAGGCTTTCTGATAGTGCTATGGACTTGATTTTCATGCTGATTGCTCCTCATCTGTGAAGGGCTTATGCATTACAACGCAGGCATCCGATTACCTTTTGGGGTCGGCCGGGCTTTAGTATGCGGCCTGTTCATGACTTCATTCACACTGCCACCCACAGTCTGGTGTCTGGTATCATCGTCCACAATGAAAAGGACGCGGAGGGTATGATGGGGCTAGCCCGCTTGATGGAGTTGTTTGATGCCATTGATGAGGATGTCGTTGATTGCTGGAACCAACAGTGTAGTATCCAAGCCGGTTATTGCGAACAGCTCACAGCAGCAAAGGCATTGGTGATTCATCAAAACCTCAACCGTGTCAGCGAATCGGAGCTATACAAAGGTTATAACTGGTTTGAAAGCTCTAAGTTAGCTCACGGTGGTGATCAAAACCGCCCTACAATTGGTTTAAGAGAGACACAAAGTGCGGATGTTTTCATCACCAAAAAGTGGCTCCAGAACCGGATATGGGTCCTTTGCTCCACTCATGGTTTCTTACGGCCCGTATCCGAGCACCGTGAGCTCTGTCTTGATTTCGCTGTAACGCTTGCACAAGAGACATTAGATATATGTCGAGCGCTACCCTTGAGCTCCATGGAGGCTCATGGAATAGGCTTGGTATGTGGTAACCTCGTGTTTAAGCTTTCCTTTTGTTTGTCTATTTGCTTATTTATCCTTTCTTGTCGTGGTATTGACCGAATCAGGTGGAAAAACTCTATGATATCGTAGCTGGGGCCATCAGCGTTCTATACAACATCCAAATGCCTCTCGCCAAGGGCATTACCGTGCCACCTCCCGCGGGAATTATACCGAACATGCAGCTCCCCATTTCTCATATGTCCGATGGTGGAACATCTCCCAAATCACTGGCAGGAGATTATTTGCTTCTGCTCAACACCCTCCGTGGGGGCAATCATCCTTTCATGGACAAGTATAAGGCACTCTTGAGCTCCGTTCATACGACTAACGATACCTGGGCAACGCAATAGCTTCTTGCTACGCCGACTGTGGAAAGAAGCCCACAAACGGTTGCCGTCACTCTAGTTGGTTTGCCCATGCTGCAGTGCCATGCTTCGCAGAAAGAAGACATTGAGAATGAGAGTGATTCACGTTTCATGCGCCTTGAAAAATGACGGCGCAGTGAAGCCCATATTTCTATCGGCGGGCTGGAAGTGGGGGCAATCTCTGACCATTGACACCATACCTTATCCCCAGGCGATGATGAAATGATGCCGATGGGAAACGCTGTCAGTCTGTAAGGAGAAGGCTGTTTGTCTCCCATGCTATGCCAAAGGTGTACGGGATAGATGGCTTTCTATCGCATTACGCCCGCATTAGATATACTAGATCTGTATCAATAATAAGTCAAGTAGGCTCCAGCGCTGATGCCACACTGAAGTAATGATGGAAAACCTTGTGCCTTGGTGACATATTTTGAGGATTATTGGAAAGTTGAGCTCGAGCTAACTGGCGGATGACGAAGACGAGTTTTCCCGAGGATCCGCCGGGAGGTGTTGGTCCAGCTTCAAGCTATGTGTTTATAAACGTATCACTGCTGCACATTGCAACGATAGGAGCATGTTCTGATCCCCTATCGCCGCCATGCACTGTCCACCGTCTTTGTCAGATCCCAGAAGCCTCCTCCATCCAGAGACATTTTCTGATCAGACCGAACAGTGGCGCCCATCGTTCCACATCACGGCACCTAGTGGATGGCTAAATGACCCATGTGGATTGGCATACGACCCTACCACTGGTCACTATCACCTGTCGTTTCAATGGAACCCGAAGGGAAATGATTGGGGCAATATATCGTGGGCACAATGTACTTCATCTGATCTGCTCACCTGGAAACAAGCCCAGGAGCCGTGCCTGGCTCCCTCAGCCGAGTATGACCGGTGCGGCGTGTTCACTGGTTGCCGGAGACCTGGTACGATCCATGGAGAGTCTGGGGCCCTCACCGCGATATATACCTCAGTGAAAAGCTTGCCCATTCACTATGCGCGACCCTATGTGGTCGGCTCAGAGTCGATCAGCCTTGCCACTTCCACCGACGGAGGAACAACATGGCAGCGTCTTGAATGCAACCCAATCGTACCAAGGCCCCCTGATCATCTTTCTGTCACAGGCTGGAGGGACCCTTTTATCGCCTCATGGACATTTATCCTACAGCAGCCGGGAGCCCTCACATCTTCGGATCTGTGTGGGTTCGTTTCCGGTGGCATCGTCGGGGAGACCCCGACTGTCTTTGTCTACTCAGTCAACCCCCAAGATCTGCGAGAGTGGAGCTATGTAGGATACGTGGCTCACATTGGACTTCACACTCGACCATCCCGGTGGTCGGGCGACCTAGGGGTCAACTGGGAGGTCGCGAATTTCGTCTCGCTGAGTGACGACCAGAACCGACCCCGCAACTTCATCATCATGGGGGCCGAGGGTGTTTCCACCCGAGGCAAGCCTCGTAGAAGAGCAGCTAGAGCACAGCTTTGGATGTCCATCGCGACCTCTCCAGGAATCAGGACGCCAGAGCAGCCCCTTGCTACATATGCCTACTCGGGGATATTTGACCATGGCTGCGGATACGCGGCCAATTCGTTCTGGGATCCCGTCACCTCACAGCACGTCGTGTACTGCTGGATCGCAGAGGACAGTCTCCCCGATGACATTCGGCATCAGCAAAGATGGAGTGGGACACTTTCTATCCCCAGGGTTGTGAACCTAGTGACACTGCACCACGTGAAGCGCGCGCGCGGCGCGGAGCTCACTGCTATCACATCTATAGAGTCCGAAGCTGATTCCCGAGGGACATGCACCGTTCGCACCCTAGGTATCAGGCCGGACGCTAGAGTCGAGAAGCTCCGAAACAATGCGCACAGAAGCTACCTAGCTGATATCTTTCTACACAACCCGGCCAGTCAGGCTGCATCACCAGGCACCCGCGTCTCTCTAACGACGAGCAAGTGGGAGCTTCGAGCCGAGATATTCGTCAAAGAGAACTGCAGCCAAGTGGGACTGTTCATAGACCATGGCATAGGTATGGCGCTCGTAATATTGACCATTGGAAACTTCTAGCCTTTTGCTGACGTCTAGCATAGATGCTCAACGTCGTACTACTTTGTCGTGGAACGTAGATCAAGAGACGTTCATTATTACCCGCCCTTCACCTATCAATCCTGAGATAGACCATGACCCGGAGAGTGCGCCGCATACTCTCTTCACATATGAGACCGAGCAAGGGGAGATACGGGAGGAGACGCTCCGGATCCATGCGTTCTGGGATACGAGTGTACTGGAAGTCTTCATCAACGAGAGAACGGTCATCTCCACCCGAATCTATCTCATGCCGGCCGACCAAAAGCGGTCAGTGCTGCAGTTCTTCGCGACGGGAAGAGGTATTCAGTCGCAGTCTGCGGTGGAGGATAGTCCGGCCGTTCTCTTAGAAGCAAATATATGGGACGGGCTGGCTGCGACATGATCACTGCAAACGGAGGTGGTTGAGGCACGTAAGATTTCATCTAAGTATTATTTCAAAATTATATTCTCTATCCTACATATGTGTTTGGGGAATGCTTGATCCACATAACAGAATGCAATCGTATCAACCCATGCTCCGAGTCTCTATGTCAATAACAATGGTCCATGAAGATTTAGGAAAAAGGCCCTCGGGGACCAGAGTGCAACCCGCCCCGCTCGTTCTTCGAGTCGTGTCCATTTGTGGCCCAAAGTAAGCAATTAAGATATAACATTTATAGAACAAGAAAGCCGCAAGGTCCCCCGCTCTCCTTCACAACAAGTATGCGAAGAATGCGAATGGGTATCATCAAGTCGTAGGGGCTCCAAAACACAATCCGTCTTCTCGTCCGATGCAAACTTCCCTTGAATATAATGCACAACAACAAAAAAGAGGCGAACAGCAGAGCCACAGCGGAAAAGATGAATGGAATTATGTAGTTGAGGAGGTTGGGTATTAAAGAGGTCTGTCATTCATGAGAAGAGGAAGGTCACCGAGAATTTCGCTGCCAGAATTTCCAGCTGGGCAGCGCCTTGTGTCCGTCACGTTTGTAAATACGCCAGTAGTAGACGGGAACACCGGCGATTATGAAAGCGACCACGATCAAGGTCTGCAAAGGTTCTGCAATGACGGCGCGGCTGAGCAGAAACAGACTCACACAGCAGAAGATGATTGGAGTCGAAATCCAGGTCTTGTAAGGCCGTTGCAAGTACGGCTCGCGCACCCGGAGCACGATCAAGCCTAACACGGTGAGAAAATAGAATGTGTAGCCGGCAACTCCGTAGAATGTGACGAGCGTCTTGAACTCGCCGACAACGATATAAACCACAGTGAGAGCGCTATTGAGGCCCATCGCATTTATGGGGGTGAACCCGATCTGCGTGCCGGCGCCGCACAGCCGGGAAAGCGACTTGCTCAACCAAGACCGGTGTTGGAGGCGGTTGGAGGAGGAAATGTCGCGTGTCCACAAAGTACCAAAGACTTCGGGTAGATAACCTTCTTTTCCGGCCGCGTAGACCAATCGACCACTGGTGAAGGTCGTGGCGTTTAGGGCACCGAAACAACTTGCGGACACAATCAGTGCGAAGATGAGAGCACCCACATGACCGAAGACTTTGTCGCCGAACTGCACCGCGATGGTATTGCTCGCTTCAATGGTCGCTTGGGGTAGAACGAGGATGTAGGCGACGTTGGCAAGAATGTAAGATAGAATGACTAACGGCATGGCCGTGTGAATCACCCGTGGCAGGTCGCGGTTCGGGTTTTTGAATTCCCCGGTAACATAGTTGGTCTAGAAGGATTCGTGTTAAAAATGGCAACGGCTTGAGGAGTTAAGGAGGAAAGGCATACGTTGTCCCAGCCATCGAATGCCCAAAGCCCCGCGTACAGAGCCAGCGCCCATGCGGAAACGTCGATATTCGTACCCTCGAACCAGCCAGTCTTCCACTCCTTGTTGGCACTTCCAGTTGAAGAGAGACCTGTGATAGCTACCACTATGCCGATAATTGTGACAGCCAGCAATGCAACGAACTTGAAGAACATGAACAAGTCTCCAATGCGCGCGGCTACCCGTGTAGATATGCAATTAAGCAGAGTCACGACAAGGAGTCCACCAAAGGCAACAGCCTTATTTATCCATGGGTTGATGGTTTCAACCTCGGCTCCCACTACAGCGCGCACGACATACTCTCCGAAGATGATGGCGATGATGGCAGCGCTGCCGGGCTTCAACACGAGAACAGCACACCAGGTGAACAGAAAACCCGCTAATTCCCCGAAGATTTTTGCGAGATATACCTGAGAACCTCCATTCAGCGGGATAGCTCCGCCCAGCTCTGCATAGCTGGCTGCTCCGGTCCATGCCAGCAACCCAGCAACTACCCACGCAATGAGTGACGCGCCTGGCGAACCCGCATTGACATTGACCTGGCTAGGAGAGGAGAAGATTCCGGAGCCAATGACCAGTCCAACCACGAGGGACAGACCATTCAAGTAGGTCAAGGTCTTGTTGCGCTCCAACGATCCGTCAGCGAGGCCAGCCTCTCCGTCCAAGGCGGACGGGGCTCCCAAGGGGGCATACCCGCCCGTAGTCTGCGATAAGGGAAAGAGCGTCGCCCCAAAATCGAAAGCGGAGGAGACTGAGTATGAGCGCGCGGATCGAGGTCGACTGGAGGAAGATTGCGCGGGGAGCTGAGTACTGGATAAGGGGTCTTCTTCGTCTAGAGAGAGCTTGCGCGAAGAGGAAATGCCCGAGGGAGAGGAGGAGCAGGAAGATCGAGGACCGGAATCTGGCGATGACGCTAGCGAGGCGAGCTCTAGAGAATCCCGGGGTGGTGCATGGTAACTGTCCGACCTCGATCCGAGGTTGGAAAAGGCTATCTGGGACATGCCTTGCACCAGTGGTTAGGGGCGATTAGTATTATGGAGTGAAGCGGAGGTGGATGGCGAGCAGTGACAGAGCACGGGCTGTGTCCATGCCAATATGAAGGTCGTGCGATGAGTGATGTTGTATCCGTAATGAAGACAAGAGATAACAAACAACACTAAACATAGAAGGAGTAAATGACAAGAGAAGAGAATTAGAGAGGAACCAAGTATAACTGGGAGCAAGGGTAGGGCGGAGAGATGAGAGATGAATAGATGAATGAATGAATAAATCAATAAACCAATAACTGAGTGAGTACTTGAGAGAGATGAATGGGTGAGTGAAATGAGCACAGACAGACAGACGGTCGGTCAGGGTGTGTGGCTGCCTCTATCAGGCTTAGTGCCGAGGGATCTCCAGTCCCTGAATTTTAATCAACTTTTTATAGCTTCGCCGGTTTCTTCGGGCTACTTTGCCCATGCTCTCGATTCTCTTCTCTCTCCCTTCACCAATGAAGCCCCGAAGTTTCAGTCAGGGCTTTTCTCGATACAATGTGTCCTCCATCGGTGGAAGACTGCTAACGAGAAGGCCCCGATTTCGTACCTCTTCCTCTTCCTCCGCCGCCTCCTCCTCCTCTTCCTCTTCCTCTTCTTCTCCGCCGCCACCAAGATCACGTCGATGGGTGCAAGTGGCCCTCGTTACAACGGCTGCCGCCGGGATTGGCGCATACATCAGATCCGAACAGGGGTCTGGGTCATCAACCCTGTCCCCCTCCCGATTCACCCCGTACTATTTAGTATCGCGGGAACCCGTGTCATCGTCGGGAAGCATATTCACTCTACAGCCACCCAAGGCAGATGGGAGCAACCGCGCCGTTTATGAGGAAGCATGGACAACGGGAATATGGAGTGTGATGTTCAAACAGCCCCAGCTGCAGATCGGAAGAGATTATACGCCCCTTCCCTCAACCTCGCCAGAGGAAGAGGAGGATGAATGCTTGCGGTTCTTCATCCGGCGAGACCCCCATGGCGAAGTTTCCCGCTATCTCCACAACCTCGATATGGGCTCACCCATAGAAGTGCGTGGCCCAAGGGTCGAATGCGGGATCCCGCCGAACACGCAACACATTCTCTTCGTTGCTGGTGGGACCGGAATTGCCCCGGCGTTGCAAGCCGCACACACTCTTCTGCGTCGCACGGATCAGACTCGTAAACCTAGAATTCATATTCTTTGGGCTAACCGAAACCGAGACGACTGTTCTGGGGGAATCAATGACACAGTGGTGACTCCAGCTCCGCAGAGGTCGTGGTTTTTTGGTCGTTCAACTCCCCCAGCAACCAGCCCAGCTCCGGTCGCTTCGCCGCTCAATCAGACTCGTTCCCTCATTGTTCGAGAGCTGGAGGCTCTCCGGGCGCAGTATCCTGGCCAAATGACCGTGGACTATTTTGTCGACGAAGAAGGTAGTGCCATTGGCAAGCAGGCGATCCTGGATTTCACTAAGTCGGTCGGCCTGTCGTCTCCCAAGCCCAGTCAAGACAGTCTGATCCTTGTGTCTGGACCAGAAGGCTTCATCAGTTATATGGCAGGACCTAAGCTGTGGGCCGAGGGAATGGAGTTACAAGGGCCACTTCGAGGGATCATCAAAGAGCTAGATCTGAAGGACTGGGCGGTATGGAAGCTGTGAGGACGTTTTATGTACGATAGGAATATAGGGACAGAGGACAGTAGGTAAAAAAGGATGATTCCTATCCCCGCGTAGATAGAAACTAATGTTATGTGTAGGTACAGTACGGTGGATAAATAGTAAGTACGAGTCCAACCCCGTACTTTCTTGACGGTGCCGAGAGACAAAAAGTGAGGGCTGTTTCTCTGATTGGGGTCCGGCCAGAACAAGGTTGTTTCCATATTACGTACTGTACGTGCGAGTAACGACTATGGAATTGTTCATTCATACGTCGTACTACGTACTCAGTATGCACAGTCAGTTCAAGTTCCATGCATACCCCGTAAAGACCTTCTCTTCTTCGCAGAGGCGCCATCATTGCGCCATCAATGCGCAGACGTACCAGGCGTGCCAGGACAGCCAGCCTGAGGGGAGGGGACCGTCGACCAGCTTCCGAGGTCCCATGAACAGGCGGCCACCGCCATTTGGCTCAGAACCTTTTTTGATATTGATTATCTTCTCGTGTAGCGGCCGAAATAAGGCCCTCCGTCCCGTGGAAGCGTTGTGCTCAACCAGCCACCAGCGCAATATGTATGTACGTACGTACGTACTAAGGATATGCAGAATTGCAGACAGGTCATGGAGAAAAATACGAGTGGAAGGAGTACGTACCGTCCTCGGTAGATAGGCTGAAGACTACTGAACTGGGTAGTATGTGTATAGTACTCCGTACTCCAATACTGACTCGTACAGTACTTCCTCTTCAGGTCCCGCGGGCCGACCGACAATCATCGCCACCTCGATCTTCTTCTTCTTCTTCTTCTTCTTCTTCTTCTTCTTCTTCTTCTTCTTCTTCGTCTTTCTCTGCCTCCTCTTCTTCCTGCAGATCTGACCCGCCGGATTTCCCCGACCGATGTGTTTACAATTGCTTCAGTGAGAAGCTGACATCACACCGCTGCATGATTGGGCCACGTACAAGCCAATGCTCTAGATCGAGCTGAGCAGTAGCCCTGCAGTCAAGGAAGCTCTTCCGGACAATTGAATCCAAACTGCGCTGATACTTGGCACATCGGGCCATGACGCTGCACAGATTGGGTTCTGAGCATGCGCAAGGAGTGAGAGATAAACCAGATAGATAACTCATGTTGACACCATGGACGTTCGGCTAAGACATGGACAGCCGTTTCTTCTCTCTTTCTCTGCTCTGCTGCAGAAAAGTATCAATGACCAATGACTCGGTTGATGCGAAACCAGCCCAGTCGGACCTCTTCTGAGCCGGTCTACCATCCATTACGACGAACAGACAACCGCAGAACTATTCACAAGCTTTACCAGGACGGTACAAATCGGCGGATACTTAGTGACTACGCATCCTCTCGCACAGCGCCTGGCAGCATGAATCGTCGCTCATCCGCCCCAGTGAGCACTCGATCTGAATTCGAAGAGGCCTGGAGAAATGGCCTCCCCGATACGCAGCCTTCCCAGCCACTAGAGGCTCTCGCAACCACAACAGATACTCCTCTTTCTCGCCGTGATCGTAGGAACAGCAGTACTCCGTACAAAAGGCAGTTCGACGAAGTTGCGTCGGGCTTCCAGACATTGGAAACAAATGGCTTGGTGCTTCCACTCCGCCTGTCTCCTACAATAACTGGCTCCTCTCAGGGTCACAAGCGGAGCGTATCTCATACTCCGCAAACCTTTCATTCGAGTCCAACCCAGACACGCCGGTGGCAATCGGATGTGACTGGCTTGTCGCGAGTCTCTCGCACATCGGGCTCCCGACGTGAGAGAATCCGGTCCATCATTCGACAGTTCGGACGACCTAGCTGGTCCGCAACAACTCGATCTTGCCCCGCTCGTAGTCGCACGGAGCGACGGCTCTATGCGAGGAACATAGGGACGAGTAACGACTTGACCTCAGCCGATAATTCAACTGCACCGCTGTTGGTTAGATTATCTCAGACCGGGTCTCGAGCCGACATTGCGCAACTTCTCGACAATGGTCATGATATTGAAGCTCGTCACATCTCCACTCGCCGAACGGCATTACTCGTCGCATCTCAGAACGCAAACGAAGAAGTGGTAGAGCTATTGCTTCAAAAGAACGCGCGAGTGGATGCCACCGATAAATCCGGATCGACGGCGTTGCATCTAGCAGCTTCTCGCGGTCACTGTAACGTCATGGAGCTGCTTCTACCTGAATGTCTAGATATCGACGTGCGGAACTCTAACGGCCAAACAGCCCTCTGGCTGGCAGCGTACTATGGCCACGTCGATGCGACGCGCCTGCTGATTGCATGCCATGCTAAGCTCAATGCGCGAGCAGACAGCCAGACTACTGCACTGCATGCTGCCGCAAAACAAGGTGATGCAGCGATCATTCACCTTCTGGTTTCAGCAGGTGCAGACGTGGAAGCGAGGGACGGAATGATGATGACGGCACTGCATTATGCTTGCGAGGCTGGTCATCTCAAAGCCATTGAGATACTCCTTGATAGTAAAGCGAATATCGATGCGGCTGGAAATGATCGCAGAACACCTCTCATCTGCGCAGCCGCTACAGGTCAACTATTTGCAGTCCAATTGCTGTTGAAGCGGAAGGCCTCGGTTCGATGCATCGATGATGTTTCAATGACGGCCTTGCACTGGGCCGCTTTTAACGGACATAGCGAGGTTGTAAACGCATTGAGCCTCAAGAAGACTTTATTGGCCAAAACAAACATCGCTGGTCGAACGGTCCTCCATCTGGCAGCGATGAACGGACAATTCGCAGTCGTTGAGCATCTCATTCGGAAGAACATGCCTCTAGAAGCTCGCTGCAACACCGGCTTCACGCCACTTCACTACGCATGTATAGCAAACAGCTTGGATGTCGCTAGATTGCTGCTCATCTCTGGCGCCGACATAGAAGCCTGTGTTAGCCCCGACCTACGGAGATCTGTCCACATAGCGGCTGCTGATGGATCCATGGGCCTACTCAATTTACTTTGTGACAAGGGGGCCTCTCTAAAAGCTCGCGACTCTGTGGGAGATCGTGCGCTCTGCGTGGCATGTCGGTATGGTCATGCCGCTGCCGTGCAAAACTTCCTAGATCGAGGGTCACCTATCTATCTACCATATGAAGAGATGTCCGAGGAGGATTCCCCGTTGTGTCTAGCAGCAATGGGAGGGTATCTCCCTGTGGTCAGCCTGTTGCTCCAACGCGGTGCATTGGCCGCCAAGCGCGATGAAAGGGGCTGGCCGCCCTACCGGCATGCCGCCTACTACGGACACCCTGATGTACTGCGGTTACTCCTCTCTTGCGATCCCGCATCAGCAAAGGAGGATGCTAATTTAGGTCTTACGGTAGACCGAATTGGCTTTGCCCCTTCGGCGAACATCTCCGAAGAGCGAAAGCTGGAGGTGCAGAGCCTGTTGCATCGGATACACCAGCTAACTCCGTCGGGGTTTGACGTCGTGCCTTCTTGGACCTTTTTGCCAGCAGAAAAACACGATCAAGCTTTGCATCGACCAGCCCCGGTTCTGTGGTCCGATTCTCCAATGGAGACCCATGCCGCTCCGAAAGCAACCATAATCCCCCAGGAACTACCCGGGACGTTAGAACAAGGGCTACCAACAAGCCGATCCCATACCCCGGAACATATGCGTCGAGAAGTCAGTCCTAAGCATGGATCCTTGGGACCCAGTAGCATGCCAGGTACCTTCCTCGTAAAAGAACAGGCGTTTGTTCCCGCGAACGAAGCTCCGATGCTTCGGTCTAGCGTCCGACCCCTCCTTGACTCATCTAGGAAACACCGAGGGGTCAGTCTTCCCTTGGAGACAGCATTCGCTCGAACAAAAGCACCGACTTTCTCGCCGGAATCGCCAGGCTCAGTCATCGACCCGCGGTGTGCCAGGTACTCCTTGTCTCCAATATGGATGTCAAGCCCAGTGTATCAGAGAGAATTTGAGGAGGAGGAAGACTGGGACTCAGAATCGTCTTTCTCGTCAGTATACACGGCGTTGGAGGGTGAAGCATTTGAGCTTGCTGTGTAAGAGGTCTCTCTACCTCTTCTTCTTGTCTCTTCGTTGTGAGTTATCTTGCTCAAGGATAAGTAAACATTTGTGTGAGCGAGATCACAATGCAGAAAGGCCTGTGATCAGGCCCAGAGCTTGTGTTAATTCTGTTGCGTCAGTCATTCAATACATCCACCCCTTGCAAGTCTCGCTACTATTGGGTCCCAGGGATGCACATATCGGCCTTGGCCTACTTGCGCAATGAATTGGGTCCCAACCCAGTGCTTTGCAGCACAATTTGGCACATACCGCATCAATAACATCATTGTGACTATGGCTAAAACATGTGTTAACTGTTCCCAAACAAAGCCACTCATGCAGCGACAGAGCAAGGGACAACATGGAGAACGTTCCCGGCACGATGGTCCGTGGCAAACGAACGGCTGGTAAGGCCAATGGCCTTAGATGTGGAGAGACAGCCAAGTGTTATTAGGGGATACCGTTCATACCTAACTGTGTTGTCCCAATTATCTGGCTCCTGAGTCCTCCTTGTCCATGGCGGATTGGGCGTGCGTAGCTCTTTGTGGTGTAGAGATCTCAAAAGTCAAATGAACGAAGTCTATAAAAGCATGGATGGGATCGATAGACCATGATGCCTACTCTCCTCTCTCATCGTCCTTCTGTAAAATACATCCGTGTCGCTGGCTTGGATCCCCATGCGGATTTCATCTTTCCTGCTCCAGCCTATCTTCAAGACGTTACCTAGACCCAGGTCGGTCGTGGTCTAACATACAGTACTTTCCCCGACAAACTTGCAAACTGCGCCTTCCCGTTCACACATTAAGACACGGTCCTCATCCGCAACTCATCCCCTCAACCAACCTTTCATGTGTACGGCCACATCTTCAGCATCCCCGCCCATCGCAACTGCGCCTCCCATCGCTGTGATACCCCAGAAAATGGGTCCATCCACAGAACCTCCTTTGCCCATGGACTCCATGGGTCGAGGCGGGTATAACGCCCCCACGTCATCAATTTCCACCTCGACCTCGACCGCAGCCGAACAGATGGATATGCAAGGCCGGGGCGGGTATAACGATGTGAATGAGAAAGCAGGGGCCAACCAGTAGTATGCTCGCGAGGGTCCTCGGCTGCGGAACCGAAAAGCGAACCGAAGGGAAGGAAGTATAGACTGCGGTTGCAGTGCCAAAAGCAACCAAAAGAATTTCTTCGGGCTAAGCAGTCGTGTTTCATTTCCCAACGCAGAATCTGTTACCACAGCCAGTGATTAGCCATGTCATTTGTTTTTGAGCGCAGAAGGGCGTTTTGAACGGTTTAGACGAACAGGAAATAGACCAAATGAAGAAGAAGGAAATGAAGACCACTTACTTTTCGAAGACCACCCCTAGGACGTCCTCCACGTCGCCACTCTCATCTTTACCCGTGATCTTGGCCAGGGCATCGGCAGCGGAACGGAGGTGCTCTGCTGCGGTGACGATGTCGACCTCCTCGTCGGACTCGGGTGTAAGCTGGTGGTGGTCGTGGTTCGATGATTGAGTCTGGATCATGAAGGCGTCGAGATCCTCCAGGCAGCGTTGTAGGTTCGAGCTCTGTCGGTGGGTGACCCCCAGGGAATCCTCCCAGTAGGAGCGGTCGTACTGACCGTTGGCATCCTCCTCGATGCCCGTCGGGGAGGCCAGTTCCTCAAAGGTAGCGATCAACCCCTGGAGAAAGCGCTGGATATGGCCCGGATCGTGCCCCGCCGGGCCAGATACGGAGCCCGTCTCCCGGCGGGCATCCAGGCAGGAGATCCCGAAGACGCGCCGGGCCGGCACAGCAGGGAACAGCGTGCGGACGGTGGCAAGCAGTTGATCCGGGAGGCGATCCAGGCCGGGCAGCCGATCACACTTGTTGATCGCGACAACGACACAGCGGCCGGCGCGCGCGCACTCATTCGCCGCATCAACGACCTCTCGTTCCACTGCCAACCGTGAAGCTGAAGCACTCGCACTGCCCGCACTGCCTGCCTGCTGCTGCTGCTGCTGCTGCTGCTGCTGCTCCGCCTCCAAAGAGACGACCACGACGACCACATCCGACTCCAACGCCCTAGCCTTGGCCCTCCGGATCCCCTCTTTCTCCACCGCTCCGATCACCACATTCCGCGCAGCCGAGCTCCTCCCCTCTCCATCATCCTCCCCAACATCCTCCGACCGGATACCCGCCATATCACCCAGCCGCACAAACCAACCCCCAACATCCACCCCAACATCGACGATATCCCTGGTGGTACCTTCCTCGGTACTCACAATAGCGGCCTCCCGGCCCACGACCCGATTCAGCAAGGAGCTCTTGCCGGCGTTCGGAGCGCCCAGCAACGCGACGCGGATCCCGCTGCGCAGCAACTCCCCCTTGGCGGCGTTCCCGATGTGCAGCCGGATCTGCGCCTGGAGGGCGCGCACCTGCCGACCCACGGACCCGACCAGCTGGCGCGGCGATTCGTCGAAATGCTGGTCCTCGGCGAAGTCGATCAGCGCCTCCAGCTCGCCGCGCGCGTACAGCAACTGATGCCGCCACTGCTCGTAGCGTTGCGACAGCGCGCCGGCCCCGTCGGGACCACTGCCGCTGCTGCTGCTCGCCGCGCGCACGGCAATCCGTCGTTGCTGTTCCGTCTCCGCGTGCAGGATCTCCCCCAGCGCTTCGATCTGGGGCAGGTCCAGGCGGTTGTTAAGGAAGGCCCGGCGCGTGAATTCGCCGGGCTCGGCGTAGCGGATGATTCCCCCTCCTTCTCCTCCTCCTTTTTCAATTCCTCCGGCTGCCCCGCTTCTGGGGGGGGTCTCAAGGAGGACTTGGGGACTCTTCGGATGTGTTGTTGTGGTTGTGGTTGGAGACGGTGAGGAGGAAGGTAACGAGGATGAAGACGGGTTGACGTTTGCGATCGCCGTCAACACGGACTTAACGATCGCGGGACCTCCGTGCAAGTGCAGCTCGAGCACGTCTTCTCCGGTCACGGTTCGGGGGCCGGGGAAGAAGAGCACCAAGGCTGCGGCGTCGAGGATGGTGTTCGAGGATGGAGGTTGGAGGGGATCGTAGAGCGTGCGGACAACGGCGTGACGGGCACGGGGGAGGGGCGCGGAGGGGCAGAGAGCATTGTATATCTACATACAGATTGTAGATGTTAGTTCGTGGTTCCCTGGACAGGTTTCGAGGAGCGCGGAAACGGAAAGGGAGGGAATGCGAGTCGATGTATACCTGCACGCATGCTGGGCCAGATACTCGCACGACGGCGATAGCGGCTCGCCCGGGAGCGGTGGAGAGGGCATAGATTGTTGAGTCGGCATCAAAGAGTGAGAAATTCGGGCGACAGGCTGAGAAGCAGCGGCGTGGTGATGGATTTAATAGTAGCAGTGGTGCCGGAGAGCGTCTCGACGAAACAGCTCGATTCCGCACCGGCAACGATGGGCGAGCGGCTGCAGCCCACCGCAGGGTTCGAAGATTGAATCCGCGCATGCGCGAAATGGTGTCAGTCGCCGAACCCAGCGATTGTCTTCAAAGGCCCGTTGGAGTAAACAGAAGATGGGCTCGAATGATGGCGCAAAATGCCGCGGAGGTGTCGATCACGTGCACTTGGCCCACCCTCGTTCCATCCATCCACATAATACACTTATACACTCATACAAGCATGAGAAGTACAGTACAGAAGTACTCTGTAATCGCATTAGACGTTCCGGGTCCTAGATTCTAGGAAACCACTCTGCGTATGCACTAAGCTTGGTAATGGTAATCCAGTAGATGTAGTAGGAAAAGGTCATATCACAGGGACCCTGCGCCCCTTCGTCACGCCTGCGCACCGAAAGACACACGGCCATACGCCTCACAATCCTCCTCCGCCAGAGATATGCAACTGTCGCCGGAACGACATCCAGATATAATAAACAAGAAGAAACCAATGAAAAGCCGAGTATGTACACAGACAGAAACTGAAGGCCGAAGTGGGGAAGATAAGAAAGGGGGAAATGTCAGAGGCTATGAATCGCTGGGAGATCAAAGAGATGGAAAGCATGATGTATAAAGGGTCGAAGAGAAAAATGAAAATGTACTCGGGAAGCGAATGCAACAGCTTGGTGCAAGGAGGGACGAATCAAAGCAGTAGCCACGAAGGAAAGGAGACGAAAGCACCAATCCCACTGTGCATCACCGCTTGAAAGCCCTCGAAAGAGATCAAAAGAAACGAAGACAGACGTGTCTGAAACACGCAGCCAGGGGAACATCATACACATAGTGACATCTTCCGAGACGGCATGGGTTGGTCTATCACACATTAGATTAGGAAAGAAGGAATGCGATTAGTTCATGCATCAAATGCACGGGAGAGAGAAATATGCGTTGCGGAGTGGAAAGGAAAAGGAAGGAAAGAGGGACATGGAGTAGAGAAATATAGGCAGTAGCCAATCTACTCCACGGAATTGTTTAGGGAGAGCCTTCACTCGGCTCGTCATCGCCAGGTAACTGAAGTTTCTGGTCGACGGTTGGCGATACCACGATAGATGGCGTCAAGGGTGTTCGAGGAGCTGTGTCATCTCCGTCTCGAGGACTGGCGACACTCACATCATCCGGCTCAATCGGATCCGTCCGGGGAGGGGAAAGTGGTTCGGACGCAGAGGCTACCACAGAGCCATCGGCGCTGTCTTTGCTGGTACTAGCAGCACCGTTGCGTCTCCGCAGCCTGCGTTTACGCCGCTCTTCCTCGGCTGTCTCACGTCTTCTTCTTTGACGCTCGCCGTCAACATTGTCCCGAAGACCCTGCAGCATGCTTGCAGCCCGGTCCGCAACATCATCACTTTCTAACACATGCTGAGCGTCTTGGCTCGATTTCTCAGGAGCTTCGGACTCCAGAACCGGAGGACTCAAAAGGCCCGTGTTGGCCGAGTCGGCATCGATTGCACCCGCATTGCTCGTGTCATTGCTGCCAGTCTCTTCAGTTTGTCCGGCTTCTGCGCCTTCAGACCCAGCGGCATCTGGCATTTGCTGTCCCGAAGCCACGCGGACTTGATGTCTCTCCTTCAAGCGGGCGCGACGCCGACGATCGCGTTGATCCCTCGCCTGAGGAGCCGCCGCACGTAGCTTCTCCAGAAGTGAATCCATAGCACCGCTGCTGGCGGGTGACTGTGGCCCTTCTGTAGCTGTACCGGCGCCGTTCGCCAGGCCTGCATTGACCCGCTTGCGAGACAGAGATGCCTCGATGCGTTTCCGATTCTCCTCCAGGCTGATATTCTTCTCCTTGGATTTCTGGACATTGATATCACGGTTAGCAAGAAGAAGCCTTTAACGCCAAGGGGTTGCATGTACTTACCCTCCACTCCAGCAAGAATGTAGCCAACTTGGCGAAGAAATCCCGCCTAGCGCCTTCATCCGTGTTGTCCTCTCCGTAGAACACCATGATATCATCATAGCTCTTGGCCATCTCATCCAGGTAAAGCTGCATCTGCTCGGCCTTGCGACGAGCATCCTTCATGCTTCTTTGAACGATCTGACTGACCCGATCCTGAGGATGGAATTTCTTCGGATCACTAAGATTGCCAGCGTCCAAGCTGGCTTGGACGTTCTTGATGTTATCTATGTACTTCTTAGCATCCGTGCGCAGTTGGTCGACGTTGAGCTTCTGAATGGCGATAACGCCGTTAATCTCATCCACAAAGCCCTCCCACTCGGGATACTGGTTTCGAACAATTCGCTCCACCAGGTCTGCAAAAGTAGTCTCGTTCTTGTCATCCTTCACCATACCGAGGCGGGCGAGGGAACTCAGTTTGAAACCTTGAGCTTGCTTATTGGCATCGTTCATGAAATTACCAATGTCCAAGATCAAGCCAAGAACATTCATCAGGGCCACGGAGTCTCTCAGAGACTCGCTGACCTGCACGACTTGCTGCAGTTTGGCGGAGATATGCTCGTAGTCTGGCTCATACGAGCGTGTCAACGCAAGAGCACGCATTCTTGCCTTCCAATAATGGTGCAGTTCGAACGCGGTATAAAGGTAGATCTGGTCTTCGCGCGTGAGCTCAGTGGGATCCTGCTCCCGCTCGGCGCTGGCGGCATCTGGACCGGTCCAATCTCTGCTGTATGGCGCCATAGACTTTGAGATATTCTCGGGTATGGTGCACATCTCATCCCTCTGTAGGAAATCCATGACAACCATGTTGTCGAGAATTTCCGTGTCGCAATGAATAATCATTCGTACAACATCGTCAGCAGGGAATTGAGAGAATTTGGCCATAGCAATCTGGAAAGTCTTGGACAGCTCGTTGGAGATGAGTTGTTTCTTATCCGTACGCTGCTTGCCTCCCGCGCCCTTGCCGAAGATCTTGGTTTCTTTTGCCATGAATAGTCTCTCGACTTCATCCAAGACTCCCTTCTTCGCCAATTCCACATACTTCTCCTCCTTTGCTTGGGCAGTAGGAGCATGAGATGCCCACACGGTCACCTGCGGAGTATCGACCTTATCCCAATGAAGTGCCTTGAGTTTCTTCTTTGGCCGAATAGATGGCATGAGAGCTGTCTGGTGATGAGGAAGGGCTTGGGAAGCCATGTAGTTTGCGCGCCAGCCTCCGAATCCACCAGCACCAGGCGGTGGAGGGGGTGGAGGGGCACCGAAAGAAGCACCGGGCGGAGGAGGTGGTGGGGGGGGGCCAGGTCTTCCACCGGGCGGTGGGGGAGGAGGGGGCGGAGGTGGCGGGAACCCTGATTTTCCGGGTGGTGGAGGAGGCGGAGGGGGCGGAGGTGGAATCCCAACAGCTCCTGGGGGCGGGGGCGG